AACTGTGTCGCTCATTAAGATTTAAAACATCTGTCCCAGATGGAGCACAGCGAGAAGAGGAGGATGAGGAGGAAATGTACATGCCTCTGGTCTGCTCAAAGCTTTAAGCCTTAAGATTAACGGGGTAAAAAAAAACGAAATACACATGCACCCCCCCCCCAAATTAAGCTGAAAAACTTCATTTAATATAGGAATTCATTTGATTTTTCCCCTCATTTTTTTGCGCTCATGTGCACATCGAAAGTGCCACATTGCAATATGAACATTACAAAGTGGAACCACATCTGCTGATCGCAGTAGAAGTGGAGTAGATAGAACGGAACGTACCAGCTCCTGCTTCAGTCGCCTCAGACACGCGTCCATGTTTTTGCACTCTGGTTTGGAGAGCCGCTGTTCCATTTTTTGTTGCTGTTGTTGTTGTTGTTGTTGTTGATGAAAATACCAGAATTTTAGAAGAAGCGCGTCGTCTGTCGCCGCTCGAGCATGACCGCGCGAGCTTCCTGCCGGGCAGGCGGATTAAAACTGCGCTCCGGCGGAGAGCGCGAGACGACTCCGCGATCGGAGATGCGCAAAACCAGCTGAGGAATGCGCGCGCGCGCGGCTCGTGACTCAAATCCTGTAATCACAAAAAAAAAAAACTGATGACGAAAAAACGTGTTTACTCCAAACACGTCAATGAGCTCCTTCTTGTGGCTGCATCGGTCCGTGTGCGCGTCTGTCACGCTGTGTGCGTGTGCGCGCGCGCGTGTGTGTTGCTCAGCACGTTTTCCTCCTCTGCTTATTCCCCCATTCAAGAGGAGCGCTTGTATGTTGCCCATCCAACATCGTCCAATGAAGGACTAACTAACACCCATAAGCCCCGATTCGAGTCCACTGCAGCTTGCAATGATGATGATGATGATGAAACATCTGGACGTATTTGAATCAAGGTGGAAGTAATATTTGGGAACTGAAAGAGCACAAGATCAGGAAAGTAAACATCTAAACGTCCCATAAGACTGTGTAGAATATGGATTCTGGAGACGCTGTTGCAGATCATTGGCCTGCAGGAGGAAGTTTGAGGAGGATGTGAGTAAAAGAGACCAGATGTGTCATGAAACTGCCCGTTGGGCCAGTTTCCTGGCCAACTGTGCTGTGGTCAGAGAGGAAACACCTGAGCCGCAGGCTTTTGTTGCGTGACCCGGATAAAATGCTTTTTCAGCAAAGGAAGGAAAAGTTGCATACAGAGGTTGACTGTTAATCCCTCCCTCACAATATAGAATTGTCATTACATGAGATGTAATCAATGACGTGAAGACAAACACAATTCACTGCATCTCATCCGATCCGACTGTATCAGGTTGGTTTTACTAAATGATGGCGGGAAAAAAAAAAAGAAGAAAGAACTTTCATGATTTGAGAACTTTCTCTTCTTTAGAAAATATTAATCCAAAAGCTCAAACAGACTCAAAAGATATCAGCTCAGTAGTGCAAAAACAGATGAGGTAGACAGTGAAATGTGCAGTCCGTGGGTTTACACATAATGCATGCCATACATGTCCAGTGAAGACGTAAGTCAACCGTCAGGAGACTTGGTGCCCTCGGACATTCGTCTGTCATCTGGAAACTTTCCTGTCAGTCCCGATGTTTGTTATTGTTTGTTACCAGAGAAAGAGAGAAAACCTCATCTCAGATTCCCAAAGCACTGAAAGAAAGACAAGGGAAGAAAATCCTCTGAGGATCACTGAACTTTTGACAGAGAGGAAGATATTTGCACGTGTTATTTGGATATATTCAGAATATATATAGAGTTCTCTGCTGTGTTCTTACAGCCAGTTTCTGTCCCTTGTGTCTGTTCAGTGTTATTCCGAGTGCAGCTTTTTTCTTTCAATTGTTTTATTAATAACCTCAAAGAGAAAACCTTTTGAATGTCTCCTTTCCCAAATCTGACCATTTGATGATGATGCAGCAGTTACATCTTCACCGGTCGGCAGCGAGAGGATGAGTTCTGGGTCTAATTTAAAGTTCAGCTTTGCGATTCGGAACAATTTCCCCACAAATGTGACCTCCGACCTGCAGCTGCTTTTCCTGCATGTGTCCACTTCCTCCCAGCTGTCAGCGTGCCCTTACTGGATAAGGAAGCGTCTCCTCAGATCACTCTGCACTGCAACACACAGTCGGTAAATGGAGCGGCAACAACTGTTTGACTAAATCTGCTGACTGGTAAATGTTAAATACAGAACATAGACATATCTGGACTGTGTTTGAAGGGGCATCAGGTGTTTTAACGCTTTCACTGCATGCGTGACAGCGGTTATCTATTGGTCTTACGTCATGTCTCGGCACTGAAGTAGTGAGAATAATTGAATAGAAGAGGACGTGCTTTCTTGTCTCTAGATTTGAAAGGAAACAGGAGCTCTGTGAGGATGCAATGTTTTCCTGTCAATGAAACGCAGCCATTTCCAAACTGTCAGTCCCATGAAATGTCTTTATTTCATCATGTTTTATGATATGTTCCCTTTTCCCACAGCAAACTGATGAAAAAATGATAACGGGCTGAGTTATGACTTTAGTACTTTGCATTGCATCATTAGTTAAATATATCAGATTGCTTGGGAGGTGGCAACAGATCAAATACATAATGTAACATGTTATTAGAGTTTAACTAATATTAAACCAAGTGAATTAGAATTATTAATTAAGTAATTAACAAATTAATTGTTCAAGTTATTTGTGCAATGTTTCTTGATTAAATATCTTTATTTATTAGAGTGTTGGTTGAACAAAAGAAGATTACTGCTTCACCAGTTGCAAGAATAACTTCATCCTCACATAAATACACATGCGGTTCTAATGCAATCTGCGATTTCCATATTGGGTCACAATGTAGTGATTATTCAGATTATTTACCTTTGGTTCAACATCACGTATTTTCTTTTCTTCTTTACAGTCTATTTTTAAGCCAACTCAGTATTTTACCAAAGCTGTTAGTACGCCGCCACCTAAAGGTCAGATTGTGTCTCCACGGAACTTTCTGTGTTAAAGTGTAAACCAAAGCCTTTGGTTTGAATCCGGTTATTCGGTTGCATGTCAATCCCGAACTATCTCGCCCCTCGTTTCCTGTCACACGTCTACTGTCAGTTCTCAAATCAAGGCGTGACAAAGTTGTGTTTGCAATGCATTGCGTCACAGTTTGGAGGCCGTTTGTTCTTTGGTAATGCGCTTTCATATACAGTAAACATCCTCACTCACCGTCCATGTTATTTGATACATTTTGGCTGTGCACCGCGTTTTATATCCAGACTGAATCAGTCAGTCTGTGTGAGTCATGCAGCTCCTCCGTGTGAAGACACACGAGGCAGACAACCACTAATGATGTCACCTGCTGTGAGAGGTAGGAGTGCGTTGTGTGGCGTGCAATGAGCTCACTGCACCACCTGCTCAAACGCATGAAAGTGGTATTTAAGAGATGCGTCAGACACAACTCCCCTCGGACTTTGTGCATCACGTTATGTCGAGCAGTTAGATGTTGCTTTTGATGGATGTTCTCTTCCTCAGCCTTTGCTGAGCTTTGTGTTCACCGAACTAGTTTGATCGCATAATGTTATTTTGTGTCGTATTGAAGTTAATAGAAAGTCAGGATTGCATTAGCTCCAAATATAATTTTCTATAGGGAGAAGTATTATGAGTATACTTTACATTGCTATACATATACAAGGATTAATCATTAAAATGTGATAGATACAGGGAGAAATTGTATTTCCAATGTCAAATAAAAAAGGTTCATTACAAAGTTGTGACACAAATCAGTACTCTTGTTTGGGGTTTTTGCAGAGAATGAAACTGTGATGTTTAACAGAAAGCCAAAGTTATAAATAGCAGTTCTTAAAAGACACATTGTTGTTATAGTTAATCACTGAATTAGTCTTTAACTAAACATGTTTGATGAGGACGAATTTTCAAATCCCGTACTGATAGTAAAATGCGTAAGATGAAGAGGAATTAAGTTAATGTACTCTTTACAAAAGGTGAAGTGTGTATGATGCTGCCATCTAGTGAGACATGTACGCAGCTGCAGACCGGAATGTAGCTGCGTACATAAATAATGTAATAATGTAGTGTAATAGTTGACTCATTGACTGGTTCCCTATGTGCATTGGTAGAGAAAGTATTCCGTCCTTTCCTTAAGTAAAAGAATATCACACTCTATTCCAAGTAAATGTCTTGAGTCGATAGTAAAAAAGTCATTAAGTCAAGGTAAAGTATGCAAAAAAGTGATATAGTAATCACAGCATAATGTTAGAAAAAGTCATTAATATGTACGTCGGGTAACGGTTGAAGTTCATGAATAAGTCATATTGTAGCGTGTTGAAAATAGTTATAATAAAGTATGTCAAAAAAGTATTTAGTAGAGCATATCTAAAAGAGTGATAGTTTAATATGTCAAAAAAACGTCATAAAAGTCATATATATGTCATTGAATAGCTTATCGGAAAAAAAAAGTTATAAAAAATAATATAATATGTCAAAAAACGTAATTAAACAGTCAAAGTTGTCCAAAAAAGTCATAGTATAATAAGTCAACAAAGCCAAAATGAGTAATGGTCAAATTTGTTGACGGAAAACAATTCAGTTCATTGGAAAGCAACGGTATAATATGTCAAAAGGTTTTAAAAGTATAGTATCAAAGTTAAAGTTAATTATGTCAAAGAAGCGAGAGTTTTGCATGTTGAAAAAGAAGTACAAAAACACGTGAGATCTCATCACATGCACTAAAATAATGCACGGCCATCAATAGAAGAGGAGGAGCTAATTGACCTGATCTGTCATATTGATGAAGTTGCTAAATGATTCAATTTTGTTTCGTATTAGCTGCAAGTGTGCGACCATCTTCCTTTACGCAGGAGCTCGGATAAGAACCCTCACAGACTTGTGCTGAAAAACAACCATTTAAAACAAACGTGTATTCATTCACTCGTTTTGCCGCCTGCGACTGGATCGAGAAGAAAGAAAACACTCAATTCTTTCGTAGATTTTATTTCCCATCTGAAACGTCAGCGCTGTTATAACAAATAACCCGACACAATAGTGAAACACAACAAACAGACAAAAAAAAGCTCAGTTCAAAAAGAACAAAAACACAAATAGCAAACGCCAAGACTTTTTTAAAAAAGTGCCTCCCAATGCCTTCGAAGGCCGGTCCATCACACAAAGAAGCGATGAACAAGTGATGTTTGCACAGCGTGAGAAGTCGATGATAAAAAGCTCTACTGTGCAGATAACCAACCAAGATCCAAGTTACCACAACAGAGGCCCCTTGTTTAACAGTGAGAAGGAGACGGGTCCATTCGGTCGCTTTTGTCCCGCATAGCAGCAAGAGGAGCACTACTACTTTGTTGTTCTTACAAAAAGGTAAAGTGTGGCGTACCTCGGTTTGAAAACATGACAAAGTACAGGAATGCGACACGCAGTATACCGATACGACCGCAAAACACTTTCACTTGGTGCTTCATCAACGAAAAAACACGCAGTTAAAATCGGAGTCGCGCATTAGCAAAACAAGACAAATAAACACGTAGTTTATTTCATACAAGTAACAACTGCACACAGACTATTCCGAACACCAGGCGCCTATCGACTTTAAATGAACAACAGTGAGCAACAGGATGTGATTCAAATATCACTGTAGGAGTAAGGCCATAAAACCAGACAAACAAATCACGTAAGTTCGTTTTCAGTCGTTTAGTTTCAAGGTCAGTATGCATCATTTCGTCCATCCGGTGACAACGTTTTGGGATTATCGAGTTGCGATAATCTATTGTGGAGCTTTTGGTTTTTCCTAATTGACCTTGGAAGTAATGTGACAGAACAGTTCCAACTCAAGGTCCTCTGAAGGCTTTCTGCTAAGGCGTTCAACATTATTTCACAGAATGAAATATTAGACCAAGAGAGGACCTGAGAGAACAAGCATATTCCTGCATATTCTCAATGACTTTATTCCTTTACAATTGTGAATTTCAACTACATTGATAATTTAAAGGGACAGAACTGATATAATTGCATAATTTATCCGTGTTCTTTAACTGTGTTCATGTCACTTCTTACTTTCACCTTTTACCTTTAAACATCTGGATTTAAAATCCCCCTTCCCCACGTCCCCGTCCTACAGGGTTGTTCAACATGCAAAACCTTTTCGGTCACTCCGAACCTAAAAGACCGACTCACGTTGACGATGAACACGCACAGCGTCATGGATAGAATTTAATTACTTCAGGAAAGCAGGACATATTTGATAATTTTTTGATAAAAAGACCAAAAAGACCAAAAAACAAAAAAATCTCCCCCCAATAACAAGTGTTGTCAATGCAGCAAAGGCCTATGATGAAACACACAGTAAACAATGGTGCTGTAGTTTATTTGTCTATACATCGACATGCTGCTGTCTCTCACATTTAAAATGTTTATTATAGAAAAGTCCAAAATAACTCCACTATTAACTCCTGTTTGAGAAACCTTTGCTCAAAACTGCAACGCCCAGCACATCAGCCTAGCAGGTTAACAAACCTTTTTCATTTTGTATTTTTCTTTGATAAAACATATTTTGTCTCATCAGTAGGACCAGTGAGGTTTGGGTCCGAGGGCCATAGAGACGGTGAGCATTTCGCACCGGCTAACAAACTTCTGTGAGGTTTTTGTTATTCACAATTAGAAAGGAAATAGAGAATAAAGCTGGACTCATTCTTTGATTAAAATATTGAAAGTGTTTTTTTTTCAGCGTTTTTTTTTTTTTGTTGAAAAAAAGTTGAAAAGTTGAAAACCATTTGCTTTGTTTCACCTCAGTATGAAAATCTGTAAGTGATGAAATCCAGATGGTCAGCCGTCTGGAATATAAACATGAAGCAACTAAAAAGCACAGTTTGGTTTAAGTCTTTGACACCTTGAATAGATACAAATTTGAACAAAATCATTCAAAACGACTCACATTTCAGCGATATGACATTAGCAGCATCGTAGGTACAGGACTTTTAAAATGCTGCTGTAAAGAAAGCCAAACATTTCCTTTTTTTTTTCTCCCAAAACTCTTTAGACAAACACGTAACACAAACGAGTCCAACCAAACTCAAGTAAACACAGTCAACACTTTTCTTAATCCGTCTTCAAACACATTTGAAGTGAACAATTTATTCTTTTCACGATTCCTCTGTGAATTCCGTTTAAATGAAGTGTGAACTCGTGGTCCATCAGACAGCGTGTGCCGACGTCCGGATGCGCCAAATGTGCAACCTTTTTCTTCTCTGTAAAAACACTTCTGTACTGCTGTTAAGATCAGAAATGCAGCAACTTTGTCCGTGTCTATCGCACAACACGACAAGTGTGTGTTTTACCCGGGCGGGACGGGGGGGGGGGGGGGCACGGACGCGTCGGTGAAGGTCGTGAAGGTCGTGCAACCCCGTTCCGGCCCGTCCACCATCCTCCACCTGCTCTCCATCGTCTCACATCCGTCAGCCGGCGCGTCACAGGGCAGAGACTCTGATGATGTTGATGCCGGCCGAGCTTGCGGCCGGGTCTGCGGGCTGCCTCCTCTGGGGGGGCCTGCGCAGGCTGTCGCTATCGGGCGTCAGGTCGGGGGGGCTCGGGAGGCTGATGATCGCCGTGGTGATCCGGCCGCCTTTGCTGTTGAGCCGGCCGCTTTCCTCGGCTTTGCGGTTGAGGTTTGAACGGCTGGAGGGAAAACGGGCAGAATTAAGTAACACAGTGTTCCTCTATTGCAGTAATGTGAGAGACCACAGTATCTACACGGCAGACTGTTGCACAATATGTTTCCTCTTTTGCTGCATAATATGCAATGTTTCATTTATTGCTGTTTGTTGTGGTTTTAATGCTCTTATATATACAGTGAAATGCTTTTAGTGCGCACATATACCATTCGATAATAAGCAATTTAAGTTGAAAATAAGCTTTTTAGCCTTTAGCCTGGTAACTCCATCCACATCACTGCAAACACTTTTTCTGACTCCACCTCTCTGGTGGTGTTAACCCTTTCATCCAAGCTAGCAGCCTGCTGCTGTCCTCTGCTCTTACCTGGCGGTGTGCGACTGTATGTGGAGGGCGCTGAGCTCCTGCAGGGGCCCCTGTGTGTGTGTTGGGACGGGACGGCCGGAGGGCAGAGGGGCGTTTCTCTTCGCCCTGCAGCCACAGCAGCTGCCCGCGGAGCTGTCGTGGGTGGAGATGGAGGGGCTGCGCGACGGGCACGTCTGCAGCGCCGTCTCTAAACAGTTCTGCTGGTACATCTGCTCGTCCACAAACACGTGAGCCTGGAGGGGAGAAACAGGAGGGTGGTTTAAATACTCACCTCTGTGAGTATACAGAGGTAAATAAAAAAACAGATTCATGGGAGCCCGGGGGGGTTAACAACATTATTTGATGATTAAATACAGGAAAGGAGGATAATAAATTGTGATTATAATAACTTACTAATGGCCTATTATTTACAGAATGAAGATCGGACCCTGTTCTATACACGAGCCACGTTTGGATAGTTTAAGTCCACTTTCCTGATGATACTCACATCGTTTAACCGTAGTGAGATTAAGTAATTTGACCTTGTAGTATTGTCATAATTCAATAGGTAAATTACTAATAACACATCATTTCAACATCTTTGATGCCGCTGGTGGGTGTAAGGAGTCGAGTGTACCCACAGTGGTTTTCTCCAGACAGTTCAGTAGGTGGTGGTGTTGGCTCTCTAACAGAGAGGTGCACTTGGTCAGCTTCTGCTCATCCTCTTCTGTATCCTAACACACACACACACAATTAATGAATGTTGACAACTCTCACTCTGTGCAACAATTCACTTTGTCGTCAGTAATGTAAAGGCAGACGTGGCGCTTTCGTTCTGCTTTATGTCGCCCACCTTAAACCGGACCACCTTGGTTTGAGCTTGTTGATTTCAATTTTGTTGTTAGCAGGTAACCAAAAAATTCCAGATGTTTGCTTTTGAATAACTTACAAGCAAGTTAGAACATCGTGGACCACGTTTCTGCTCGGTGTGACTCGACCCTTCCGTTAATAACAATTCATACCATCAATGGCTTTTGTGTGGTTCGCTGTATAAGACGAGAGCAAATTAACTCCCACTTCCAGTTTATTGAACTACTGAAAGTCTAAAGCTGTGTTGTTTTCAGCTCTTTCATGAAACGATCCAAGTGGGTACCAATGTGCGTCATGTGATGCTCCAGGCAGCTGAACAGTTATTGATGTATGAAAGTGGAAAAACACAACAGAAGAAAGTGATGAAAATGTTGGCATCCCCCCCCCCCCCCGAAACGAGACTGGGTGTCGCGGCTCCAACACAGCTTAGTCTCAGAGTAATCAGAACTGCCAAAAAACATGAAAACAAATACATTCCCTTTCCACAGCGCACGTTGTGACTGAAAGAATTCGGGTGGGCGGTGATCCAGCCCAAGGACTCTCATCCAGACACATGAACAATTCGATGATGTGGGCACGACAAAACTACGCCTTCTGACTCCTCAATATGTAGATCGGCCCCGCGGCAGAAGTCCCCTCCAATAAAACCATCAAGCTACAGACTGAGAACAGTGACAAGGTTCAAGGTTGTTTCCACGCGACCACAGAGGCTGATTCGATGCAGTCTGGAATGTGACCCTGGTTGTAACACATAAACGTTTATATTTTTCATAACCAGCAGATGGGAATACCTCAGTAAATTAAATACTTGACAAATCAAGGTATGTTGTCTCTAAATAACCTGCAGGACTGTTCGTCATGCATAACCATTTCCATGAGCTTGGTGATTTCAGTCACAGATCAGCTATTTATTTTATGTAGCTTCTTGAATAGACTTAAAGGAGAAGAGCTTTCTTCAATGTGAGAAATTATGCTTCTTTTTTTCCTGCTTTGAGATGATTTTCCACCGTTTCCTGAGTCACTGTACTTTCTTGAAGTAAACTAAATCAAATGGGCTGTAGCATTTCTGGCCGCACAGCGCCGTGCTGTGATGTGGTGCTGTAGTCAAATCTCTGGGTGCATTCAGACACCCCGAGCGACCGACGGGGAAGACAAAATGTTGATTTGTTTCCGACCTGTTTTAGTCACCCGGAAATAAATGAATTACTGCATTGTTGGTTGTACGACCCTGCGGTTAGATTATTGTGTTATGGCCAGAAATGCTTTTTGTGAGGTCACAATAAACTTCGACCATTCTGTAGACATTTGTGTTTAGATATCACATTCAGGGTTATGGACCTGACAATGTGGGCCTGTGATCAGAACTACAAGTGAAAAGTGCAGATTAAAAAGCGCCTGAAGGGATCGAGCTGCGTGGTCTTTCTACGCTGGGCTCACATAAAACTTGACAGGATTATCAATAAATCCCCCGTAACAATAATGAGCCGGTGATTTGGGAAAACAAATAAATGGCTGTCAGAAAAAGTAAAAAGACCAGAACTCCTCATCCAACTACAGGTGGTGAGAGGACCAGTGATTCTATCATACATTCTGACTGACAGCAGTGACACCACCCTAATGTGGCAGCCTCGTCACGCAAACGCAGGGGGGGGGTGGGGGGTGGGATGTAGGGTTTGGGGGGTGTGGGTCGCTCAGCGCTCACAGATGGCGTTTACATGATAATTCTAACCACTTCTTTCACACCGGACTCGATTAGATCCAAATGCATCTTTAGTAACAATCTGCAAGGGTGGGGTGGTGTGGGGGGGGGTGTCACAGCACAGAGTGACGGACTGGATGGAAGCGATATAAGCAGTTTGATGTGGCGGTGATGAGTTGCAGGGGGAAAAGGGTTTGCGACACGGTGGCGGTTACTTACTTTAAAGAGCAGACAGTTGGTCGACCCCTGCAGGTGGAGACAAAGACAAACACGTGTAATTAAAGTTAATGGCTTTTTGGTTAAGAAACACACTTTATAACTTTCTTTCAGAGAGTTAGACGAGAAGATCAATCGCTTGTGTCTAAAGTAATTCAGTTATATCCAGTGTCTCTCCTGTGCAAGCAGGAGGTAATTAGACTGCCATGTCCAGGGTAATGAAATAGCCAAAAGTTAATCCAGGCTGGCTGTTTCTCCCCGTTTCTGTCAACTAAACTGTACAAAGGCTGAGTGATTTGGAAAAAAAACCCCAAATATTGCAGGTTCAATGATGATGACAAAAAACTAGAACGTAACAATACTGAGTTTAAGTTCTCTCCTTCCCCAAAGTTCAGTTTCAAGGCATCTTTTATTTAACGCATTAACCATCAAATTTTAACCAAGAGAGCAACACAACAGTAAAACGACCTCCGTTGTTTGACTTCAAGACTTGGATGAAATAAAATAAAGTTTCTAAATTAAAGACAACCAAGAAAAGTAAACCGCCCACACAGGAGATTATTGAAATAACTCCTCTGCAATCACCGCTGCCCCGAATAACAACCGAGAGTAATGACTCCAACTCCTGATGCTTTTTTTATAGCCTCTAAAATGATTTCTAAATCCTCCTTTTCTTAATTACAGCAGTAATTGTTGGTGGCGTCATTCGTGGGTCTTTGTGTTCTGCTCATGTGTGAAGTTGCTGCTTCCCGGCTATTGACTTTCGGCGAGCTGTTACAATGAGTAGAAAAGCGCGTTTGAAAAGGAACAATGTGATTAATGCCCCTCCCTGAATAAGAGTGCGTGCCGACATCTCACACCATTTTAAAATGCAAAGTGCCAAGTGAATAGTGGTGTTCACCGTCAGCTCCAGCAGCTCGTTGAGCAGTCCGTTGCGCTTGCTGTGCAGGAAGGCGTTGGCGCTGCCGGACTTGGATATTCTTATCCTGGCCAGTCTGGCTTTCTGGGCCGTGGGAAGAAGAAGAGGGAGGAAGAGGTCACGTGGTCAGACAGAGTGGGAGGGAGGTTCACGCAAGATGAGCAATGCCGGTGTTAAAATTACGAGAAGCTGCCGACTCATCAGCCTAACAGAGAGTTAAAGAGTATAATGCTTGTTATAGACACTACTTTTCAATACATGGCCACAAGTGTGGAGATTGGAATATAAAATGCTGGGTTTATCTTACTTCATGCAAAAGAACATAGATTAGAAAACTGTGTTAACCGTTAGTCATAATTATTGCGATATAATATTTTACCAATGGACACCAGAAGCAAATAAATCGACAAATTATAAAAGACAGAAGACATATGGGAAATTGTTGTCAAGGAAGATGAATAAATCATGGATGAAATAGTTAACTATAGCCCTAATGAGACTCGTGGACACACTTTTTGCCAGATTTAGTGTTGATGGGATGAAAGTAGGTTACTCAATAAAAACTCATTGAGGAAAAAAAAGCAAGATTGAATGATTCTGTGTTATTCTGAATTGCCATTCCTTTTTTATCCTCCACATTAAGGTCAACCACCACTTATGAAATATATAAATCAAGAATGCCTCTTTGAAGCTGCGTCCACACGCTGAAATATTGCAGTTGGGTTCATTTAAAAGTCAGGAAATGATGATTCAACCTGAACCACACTGCATAGGATAAACAGAAGACGGCAACAAGGCAAAGCCCAGCTGCTCGTTTTAGTTTACGTGCAACCGAGTCACAACTAATGGGCCCCATTAGTGGTGATTCTACCCATAAGAGGCCTGTCTGCTGCTCATCAAATGTGTTCAAGTTCCCAGCTCCTTTTTGTCTACAATCAGGCGTAGCAAGAGGACGAGTGTGACGCCCCCCTCCGACAGAGAAATGCGATTACTCAATAGAGCGAGGGCGAGAGAGAGAGAGAGAGAGAGAGAGAGAGAGAGAGAGAGAGAGAGAGACAGGAAATGAGAGAGAAATCAGATTGGGAATTTCTTTAAATGAAGAGGATATTAGGAACAGTGTATACGAGATGAAGCGGCCTGAAGTGCCTGTGAACACGTCGGGTGAGAGGATCCTTTAACCCTCTCCGATAAATGCATTTCAGAGAGGAGAGACAGGAGGAGCAATATCTGCTTCCCAGACGTGAATCAGAAGTAATGGAATTATTTCAGAAATTGTCCGTCAGGCTGTAGATACCTGCCAAGGTGAGAGGGATGCTGGAGGGACTCAGATGTAATGATAACAATTGTGTTTGTACGTGCACGGTATGTGAAATGGAGAGGGTGAGGGGTGGGAGGTGGGGGGGGGGAGGCGTTAACTTCTTCCACCTAAAGCAACTTCAGCTACAGCGTGAATGTTTGAGAGGGAAAGCGCTGTCGCAGGCTGCCTGCGTTTCTCATTGATCAAAAGGTCGACTTGACAGGAGGAAAGAAAAGAAAAATATATGAGAGAATAATTAATGATCCTATTGATGTGGCGTGATGAGTATTCATCTTTTCTGATGGTCCACTGAGCCCAAATGCTTGTCTAAGGAATCTTTAGTTCAGACGTCTGAGCAAGTCGAGTTGGGTGATCTCTGGAGACGCAAGTTTCGATTCACATAGCAAGTCCGGGTCCACGTCATCATCAAGTCTTAAACATTTAAAAGGAAAAGGCTGTTTTTCTGTCAAAATCATTACAATACGTTAGTGGGTCCTTCTCAACGCTCTATGACTTGTTCCGCCTCGCTGCAGCTCTCATCATAAAGTCCGTAGAATTGTCCGTAGTCATTTGCAAAAGTGATTTTGTATTGCAGAGTCCAAAATGTCGCTAATTTCTAGCTGCAAGTTTAAGATGAACGTGTCTGCTTGTTAATAAACACATGCAACCCTGAAGACATCGATCTTTTCTCAGACCTTAAAATTGGACCTTTATGTGTAAATCTGGTGAGGTTCTGTTCTTAACTAAGGGTGTGAAGGATAAATCCTTTGGTTCAGATCTAGGCATTATATTTTTCACCAATTGTCCCTCGAGCAGGAGTAAAGTGCATTGATGGGGACCTTCGGATTAAAGTACATTCGCTGGGCTAGTAAGTATTCATGGTGTCGCTGTGCGTGTCCCTTTGGTGCGTTTCCGGGCAACATATGAGGGCGATGAGGACGTTTTTCATCGACAAGAGAAGTTCTTGGAAGGTAAATCTGGTTAGATCTCTTCAACAAGTGCGGTGATGATGGATTCTCGTGATTTTTTGGTGGTTGGTGGTCTCGGCGGGCGGATAAAAATCAAGTCTACTTTCTTCCACATTAACTCCCTCAATCAGACAGTCAGTCTGCAGCAAAAAAGAGCGCGACTCGTCGCCTCGAAACGGGTGCACATGTAAACCTTTTCTCTCCCACCGACGCCCCCCTCGTACTTTCTTAGGCCTCCTCCTCCTTTGTGTTCTCTCTCCGCTTCTTACTCCACGTCCATTCTCTCTTTCCTCATTTTCTCCTTTCATCCTTTTTTACTTTTCTTCAACATCCTGCCAACTCTCAGTGCAGCGCCACTTGACATCCCATTACGGCAGTGACCTCAGTCCATTTGCTGCCTCCATGTCAAAGAGACTCTGACGGCGAATACGCTGCAGCGCTTTGTTGTGCAGTGATATGAAGAAAAATAAAAAAAAGAAGTCTTCTGGGGGAGTTTTCTTTCTGAAAACCTCAGGGAAATAGGGATATTATTATTAGGGGTTATTTCACAGGCTAGTTACTCTATTTGTGGGTGACTGCAGGAGACACACACACACTTACACACACTCACACTCACACACGCTATTCACTACTTAGTAGGGAACGACGATCATTAAATCCAATTTAGATTCTCTACTTTCTATTTTCTGACTGTGAGGCTACAATGGGTACATGAGAAGACCTTTTTGCAGAGTCAAATCCCCATACGACTACATAATTGTAATGGGAGCCTGGAGCAGCCTGTTGTTAGAGGAGAACGGAGACGAATGAAACACGGAGAGGAAGGTAAAGCCACGATCTTAATATAAAATCTTTCCTGCTCTCCCTCATTCTCTTTTTTTTTTTTCAAACTCATCCTATCGAGGAAAACAAGTGGCCAAAAGACTTATAAAGGCCTTTTTATGTGAATGGGTAAATACAATTGCTTGCAGTAAATGTGCTGGTAAATTGCTGACCTTTTACAGTTGTGGGCTTGAATTCAAGACACAAACAGACAATTACAGAAAGCAGTAAAGTCGCTGCTGCCGGCAGAGCAACAAAACGTCCTTTACTGGCGGAATTAAAGCATTCGCACTTCGTGAGAAGAACGGAGGAAACGAAAACACTTTTACTGCTTGTGTATTGTAGATTTAATATATTTGCATGAATTGCATCTTTGGGATGAATTAAGTTGACCTTTTTGTACATGGGTTTTTCTAAAAAAATAATTAAAAAAATAACCTGTCTCCGTCCTTCCGTCCGTCTATCTTTCTATCGATATAAATGCTAAGAAATTATTGAAAAAATAATGATTCTTGTACTGGGGTTACAGTTAATTATATATTTTTGATCCTGTGACTGTAGCTTTTAGTGATGGATGTAATCATTTTGTTTTCCTAAACTCTTTCAGACCTTCTTGACCATGTCGGGTTAACAGCTGCTTTTTCCAGGGCCAACAATACACTTTGAATTAAAGCAACTATAGCTCCGAAGCCTCTTTCAAGACTCCAGTCGTAAACAAACATACCAACCTATGCATCGGTGTTTTAAAGTCTGTTTCCTCACTACAGCAAAGAAGAGCTGCATTCAAAATTTCATTCAACATTTCAATGTTTTTTATGAATTAGTTCCTCATTTAAAGTAAATTTTGCATCGCAGAGTTTCTCCTCATTAATTTAATGGGGCGGATAAACAAGAGGAGATACTCGAAAGCACTTCATTCAAATGAGTTTTACTGTTGTGTCAATTTCCCTCAGGGGAAATTGTAAGATCCATTTAAAACAGTGGGTTGTGCTAAAAGGACCCACGGAAATGCTGCTAGTGTGAACATTAAACAAGGTTGTTTGTTGCTGTTGAATTAATTTAATTGAATAATAATGATAATATTTGAATATTAGAACATATGTGTCGCTAATTTAACAGAAATTCCGTCTGGGTGATAAAATGTTTGGTGAGTGAGTTACAAAAACACTATTCAGGCGGATCTCTGTCCTCCCGTGCTTTTGGTCTCTGCTGCTGTCGGAAATGGTTGCTAGGCAACAGTTGACTCATGCCCACACAAAAAAAATCAACAATATTCACTCCTAAATAAAGCGGCAATAACTACATTTTCTAAAAGTGTCCGTGAACAGTTAATGTAGAAATCTTTGTAGACCACATTTTGTGGTTCACTCCTTTTTTGAAAATGGATCTGAAAAATATTTTAGAAAATGATGGGGCGGGTTGAGGAGTGATGGAACAAGTGAGAAAAACTGTAAAATGATATCAATATATGTTAATGTTGTGGCAAAATCAGATGACTAAAAGTCATCATGCCATTATTATTTTCTATCTAATAAGAAGTTTTTTGTTTCTTATTTTCCTCTTCTGCTCGGTCGATGCCTCGCATCCTCATTCAAAATGTTTTATTATATAATGTAATATTATTTGCAATACGATTTAGAATATATTAACTGGTTGTTTTTAGGTGATTTACTAACCTAACAAACATTCATTACTCGAAGGCGGCAGACACCATTGGGTTACATTAATGGTTTAAGAAACGGTTTTAATGAGTTTTCACTATTTGCATCCGTCACTATCGCGTCTAACATGTGTTTTAAAACGACCATGACTAAGATGTTTTTTTTTATCTAAACCTTATTTGACCTCTTATTTTATTCCCTATCATTTCAAATCTATATATTAATGAGAAAATGGGACACATATGATTTTCATATCGCTATGGATTCAAGCCAGACTTCTCCCTCCGCAATTAGCTATCAGCAGCTGCTCTCTAACTTAATAGCTCTCTTTTCTTGCCCCGCGGAAAGGTCGAGCCCCCTGAGTGAGGGGAGTGAGTGGATAGCAAACATTTAGCACTTGGATTTAAAGTGTGCATTTGAGAAAGAGAGCGATGGGGAGCGTCCGCATGTGTGGAAGGACGTTGAATGATGGTGGATGTAAAAGGGCATAAAACGTCCTTTTTCAGGCGGAAGGACGGAGATCTACGATGCCGACACACATTTGAATTGAGTTTCATTATTTTAAGCATCCTTTTATAAAGTTTCATCTTTCCTGATAAGAAAATCATCTGGATATTTACACACGCACACGCAAGACCATGCTCTTTTTATTAAACGCGGCAATCTGCCGTTCAAGCTCCCGCCGTAACGTGATAAAATCTACAAATACTTTTTTTGTTAATGTGCACACACTCCAACAAAACAACACCCAATCAACCCACGAAATGGACTCCGCCTGCTCGGAGCAGCACGGATGAAATAAAGACACTGACTTTTACCTTCTGAGCGCGGCGCTTGTCCGCTCTCTGGTTCTGGTGGTAGATGCGGCTGAAGTTAGAGACGATGACCGGGACCGGCAGGGCGATCACCAGCACGCCACTCAAGGAGCAGATGGAGCCGAAGATCTTCCCGGCGATCGTCTTTGGCACCATGTCTCCGTACCTGCAAATGAGGCTGATGAGGTCAGACAAAGTGCTGGGATGGAAACACGGTGTTGATACACAGGTTTCCGTCCCACGTGTGTTTATGGTTGTTTTCAATTAGAACATGATGAAAGTCTCTGCGTGGCACCAAAGCTGGCATTCCCAAAAAAGGAAATCATTTGGTTCCGTCATGAGTCAAACCATCAAACCTGCTGCTCAATTAATTGAAAATATCTCACATCTCTATCGCCATGCACAACAAGCAATATATGTACTCAGAATTTGTTTTGCAGACCAAAATTGCAACACGAGACACAACACTTGAGTCAATGAGGATTCATAGCGGTCAATTTCAATACTTTATAGTTAAACCCGCATAAGGGATTCATTTTGTGGTTGTTCGGTTGCAGCTGAAGCGAGCTGTAACTAAACCCTGAACAGCCCATTTTGTTAATCCAAAAAATATAATTGAGGCAGCTTTAACTATTTAACTACATCTCTTCTTCTCTGAGCACTGGTGAACGGCCTTTTAACAACATCCGAACTCCTGTAAAGCTTCCTTTGGGGCGTCCGATAATTCGATTACACAGGTGACTGGCTGCTTTTTAGATGGACAAAAGTGCTCAGATAGGTACCCTGCTCCCGCTATCGCTCCAGCTCAGCCGCCGGCCAAAGTTATGGACCACGATGGAGTTTAGTGGAACGTTCAGGATGAGCTTGTGAGCAGGTGGGAAATGACACTGAAATGACCCCCTGTAGAAGTGACTGACGTCAGGTTCAAGTAGTCTCAGCGCTGAAAGACAATGTTCGCTGGTGCTTGAGGTAAAGAGCAATTGAGTAATAGTGTAAAAGTGCTATGTGGCTGGTTGGGTTGCTCCTGCTGTTATTTCCTCCTTCCAAAACAAATGGTGAAAAACACCAGGAGAGAACGTTTGGAGTTGGGTTTACGTTAAAGCCGGATTGTGACAGCCGTGTTGTCCGCACGCCAAGTTAATCAGAGCACAGACGGGGAAACGACCCCCTAAATCACCATAAGACCGGCCGCCGATGAGCATCATCTGGTTCAGCTCAACCGCAACCACGGAAACGCAGAAGCCACTATGTCAATCAACTCTGCTGAATCCATCTTCTTCGTGCCTTTGCTCCACTCTCAGAGGACGGCAATGCGTGACATCTTAGTGGAGGTGCTGATCATTCTGCAGCTGCACACCTGTCAATCAACCTCAACGGCCGTGTCATTGTAAATACTTTCAAATCACAGGTGGCGGGTAATTTGATGAACCGTTTGTCAGTCAAAGTGTCAAAACAATAAACGAACTGAATTGGGAGGAAAGCGTGAAACGTCTTTTCCATCGGGAAAAGTTCTCGATCTTCTTCAAATGGACCCCCCCCCCCCCCATCCAATCTCTCCAGGAGCCGTTATTCTTCTCCTTCTTCTTCTGCGAGTAGCTCGTCAAGTAGAGTGAATATTCTGCATAAGACACTGTTCTAGTAACCATTCAGCGGACCATTTTCCTCGAGGGGCCACTTGGGGAGAAACGGATGGAGCGGTTTGATTTTGATCCTCGACGCGTCTGTAAAACACTTGCCCTTGTTCAGAGCGCTCCTTCCCCCCCTGATCCTCTCTGGCTGTTTGGCCTCATCGGCTCATTCTGAATTTCCTCTCCACTGCGTTCTCTCCTCGACGAGACTCTTGACAGGTAAGCCTCGTGCACCGTTGACCACTGTGTCTCCTGAGGGCCGCTCTCTGCCCAGGCGTGGGTGCTTTTCCAGCTTTCAGGCTTTTAAAAAAAAAAATTCGATGTGCGGGGGCCAAAAAGCTCCCACTTTCCATGACAAAAAGCTCTTTAATCGCCAGACTTACCTGCTTCTTACTACCATGCAGTCTGAAGAGCTGGGGGGGGGATTATCACAAAGCCAGCCTTCTGCTCTGCCTGAACAAATACGCAGGAAACAACGTCATATTGATCAAATCAATTTTTAGGGTTCATTTTGTTAAATATTTTTCCTCACCAAGTTGAGAGGAGCACATATGATACGTACATTGCACAGTTGATAAAATAAGACTATAAATCTACAGTGTTTTTGACTCTTATGTATTTGTGACGGACACATTAACTGAAATAATCCAGCAAAATGCACAATTAAATCTACAAATTGGAAACTTATTAGTTATTAATCATGTTTACTGTGATAAAAGATGATATGCTCACACGCCAAACCCCTTTTTTCTCTCCTAGTAAAACGTTATCTTATTTAGTTTGAAAACTCATCGCAGTCAGGCTGATTTGAACTGCAAGTGCAGAAGGTAGAGTGAGAAATATGACGGATTATTAACAAGCGATGGGGATTTGACCACAGGGCTCGTATTTATTGTTGCCGAGTTCTGCTCCTGTGCAGCCAGACGATCAGACAAATGGTTTCACAGTTCTCTCCGCTCACTGGCTCTCAGCCGATGAGAGACGGCATTCTGCCGGCTGTGTCTTTCACTGCTCTGTGGTTATGATGTGACACTTCTTACCCACTATGATGTGTTAAACATCACTAGAACTGTGATATGGTGGAAGATGCAGAGCTTTGCATTTTGAAATGAACAAGTTCACAGCAGGGTGTCACCATTAAAGGACATGGAAAGACAACAGAGCACTTAAATTATGAATAGATAGTTGTGATTTGATCTCAGGCAGCAAAGGAGGTCATTCTGGAGCTGGACCACTTATTCACAGCAACCACCTTCTCATTATAAATTGAATTAATTTAAATCATTTTATTTCTTCATTCGTGTGTTCAAAAAGAATACGACACTGGCTGCCTTTGGACCACAGCGCACAAATGCTACTCCATTCCTCAAAATGCTGCATCCGGTACGTGCAAAGCCACATTCCTGTCAGGTTTACCTTGTATTGTGAACATGGTATTTCTGCTGGTTTAGCTGAGGATCATTGGGAAAAAGATAAAATGCAACGCTGTAACAAGAACTCTGCAGAGTTGTTTAATAGTATTCAAATCCTGTAGTGCATCTGTCATTATTATGTAAATATAGTATATTGCATACTAAATAATGGATATATTAGTGGATGAAAATGAACAGAAGGAGTTCAATTAAAACCACATTTATGCAAGTCGTTACGACAACGTAAACCGTAAATCGGTTTGTATGGATTTTCTCAATTTATGTATGTAATGTGTTTTTTGACTGATGTGTCATGGCTTTTAGAACCATTATGTATGTGGAAAAAGTAAGTATTCCCAATTTATGCCAAGCCAGGCCTCTAACAACACTGTGTCTGTGTCTATTTGTAGCATTCAACAGTGTTCAATGAGACGATTCAGCTAATCCCATGCTCGTATTTTGCATAAACAGATCTACAAATTTGCATCGGTTTTTGCATCGGCTGCTGTGTGAAATGTCAAGGGAAAGAAACTTTTGCTTATTTAAATAATACGGATTAATTAGAGGGTTAATGACTTGTGTATAAATAATGCAAAACAAGGCAGGTCACGAAGATTATTATGTTGCAGAAAGGCAAACTTAGTGAATCGATGGCAGGATAAAAGCCGTTAACCTTTTCAAATCAATACGCTGACGTGTGCCACCATGAGAAACAGTCAAGTATAGATCAAATGTAGTAAGTAATGAATCATTCTGGAAATTTCTGAAAGGGTTGTTGAACGATGCAACAAGGCACGAACCACAGCAGCGGGTAAATTGTCTTCAGCAGGGATTCATTACTTCGCTCTTCCCATCTGCCACAAGTTGAAAAAAAAGTGGAAAAAATCAATTGTGAAGGGAACTTATTCAGTCGTGTGTTTTATCTGTTCCAATCTCTCTTTTTTTGCTCTTTATTATGACAAACTCAGCTGTAGCTTCCACAAGGTGGGAAAAAAAGAGCGTGGTCTTGAGAGGTCGGTGAGGGGCTACAAACGAAACAGAATCTAGGTTAGCAACGGAACCAAAGCAATCAATCTGGTCTAATGGTCCTAAATCGTTACGGCTTTGATGAAGCACATTAGAAAGTTTTATTACGCAACCAGCTGAAGGACTAAACATTTTTTTTTAATCATAGAGGGGGACGGTTTTATTCACGCCTTGAAAGGTGAAAAGCTTACTCAGTAATTACTCACTTTTATATATCTTGAAGATTTATCACCTGTGTGAACTGAAGGTGCTCAGAAAAACCTTAATTGATTAGACCGTGTCGCCAGTCATGTAACTCATCAATCAACACACAAACGCACAAAGGAAAACTACACAGTGGGCCGAGGCTTGCAGAGATCTCATCTGTTACAGATGACATTTCGTTTTAAATCCCCAAAAAGGGATGAAAATGTCTCTATTGCATTTACACATCCCCACACTGTTGATGGTTTCATTGGATTTGGACTGTCCGATGTGTGTGACAGCTAATGCTACAGCTGAAGTGGGTCCAAGAGCTGATTTAATACATTACATGGCGGGTGCATTCGGGCAAAGTCCCAAGATCATGTCAAATTTTGTTGAATGTGTCTCTGGACCATTCCAGAGATTGGGTGGGTGGGAGCTGCGAGCATGCAAAATGTGGAATTTCAAAAAGCTGCAGTTCCCCAAAGTAGCTGCAATCAATTGATTCAAATCCCACAGGTGATAAAATACTTGTTTTCTCAAAATTTGAGTTCATGTTCACTTTGTACAAACTTTAAGTAGATTAGTCTTCAACAGAAGTGTCATAAAACATCTGGCATAAAATGCTTGTTTAATCATAATGGATTTATTGCACAAGGTCATCGGGTCAAGCGATGACAGCAATTGGTCGTGCACTCGATCACATGACTGTCACAAATAGTTCACTTTAGGATTTGCTTTTGGATGTTGTGCGACAAAAAGCACATTGAGCCAAAAAGCATTTAGAAAGTATTGAAAATAGACAACGGATGATGAATTCTGTCTTTAGAAACATTTAATATACATGTGTTTTCTTTTAATCTGCCTTCATTTTGATTGGCTCTGCTTGTACTAGAATCAGTGTTGGATAATCTCAT